TTTAAATCAGCCATTTAATTAATTAATTAGCAAATTAATCGCTACTTTTTGTTGTAAAATCTTAGAAAAAAAAAAAACTAAAAAATTACCAAAGCTATTAATACCAGTACCAGTATCAATAGCAATTATCAATATCAATATCAATAAAGTCCATAGAATTTCATCATTTTTGATGGAACAATGATAAAAATGTATTTGAATGAGCATGATGAACCATGATAAGTGCTTATGATAAATGATAAATAATAATTTTAATAGTGGTCACAATAATTATTTACAAAAAAAATAAGTTATCATTTAAAAAGATAACAATCTCAGGAGTTAGTTATCAACATAGGATATCATTGAAGAAAATAATCATATGCTTATAAAATGGATTTAAATTTCATCAATTAGATGATAGATAATATTTGGAATAATTATTTCAAAATCATCCTAACAGATAATCGAACTGATTAATGATGATAAGGCTGTTAAATCGGGATCATCGTTAAATTAAAAAAAAGAAAGCTTAAAAAATGGAAAGCTAAAAAGAAAAAAAGCTTTTTTTTTTTAAAAAAAAAGAAGGCATTTTTTTTTTTGTTGTTTTGTTGCACAATAATGATTTATCGATGATGCAATGTAAATAACAATCATTGATATAAACAATTTTTTGAATCATTCATAAATTTTATTTAAAAATAAATTTTATACTTTTAAAAAATTCATTTATTAGCCAATGAAGAATGAAACTTTTCCAATCGCTCGAAAATTTCAGTTTTTTAAAAATTTATCAGAAAAATTCAAGTTATATGAAAATTTCAATTTTAATTATTTTTAAAAAAGAAATAAAAAGAATAATTGGTAAATTATTTGCTGAAAATTTTTTGAATAAAATTATTGTTTAACAAATTTAAAAAAAAAAGAAATGATAACAATTAAATTGTTCTCAAATCTAATAAGTATGCAATGAATCATATGAAACATATGAAAATGATAATGATAATTATATACATATTGCTATCATTTTATGAAAAATAATTTGCTATAGTTTGTATGTACTTGCAAACTGCAATTGCATCATGCATACATGCATGCATTTAATGCATTACTTTATTAATGATTTTTCAGTAATTTTTGATTTCATCAATTGACTGAACCAAAATGTCCATAAAAATGGAATTTCATGCGAAACGAAAGGATGCATGAAATTATTTGATAAGGACATTTGATAATCGATAATGACAATGACACAGAATTTTGTCACAAAACTTAGTTTGCAACTTTAATTACATTTTCGCTAACAGTTAACATCGATTCTTATCTATTAATCTGATGCTCCAAATAATGATAAATTAACAATTTATGTTAATAGTTGCAAAAATCAATTGAAATTCGGGAATATTCTATTATAATTTACTGAAATAATATTGAGAATATTATCAAAATTATCACGAAACAGCAATAATATAATGATTATCATAACTTGATAATTATTGATAATCATCTACAGAATCATGAGATTATTTATTTTTTTTTTATTTTAATTTTTTACGCTTTTTATTTAATGAACATTTTACAATATGTAAATTTGAAATCTTTTTTTTTTTTTGCTTTTAAATTCCTTCACATGTTAATTTTAATGTTTTCAGTATTTGCTCGATCATTTCAACTATCAAAATACAAATGATAATATTTATTAAAAATATATTTACATTACATTTAAATCAAATTTTTCATTACTTCTTCATAATTATGCAAATAATTAACTTTTTAAACATTAATTGAAAATTTTATTTGAAAACTTATAAAATATTTGCATATAATTGATATTTTATAAATTAAGAAAAATCAAAATTATCATGATTATTTTTGTATTTAATAATTGGAATAAAATTTTATTTAATAATATGATTAAAAATATTCGTACGAGAAGATATAATTAATTAATAAAAGAGAGAGAGAGAGATAAAAAGGTATATGTATATGTAGGAAATATATGATAGAAAAATGATGATAAAAGAGAGATAATCTTATATGGAGAAAGGATATTTGAAAGATGTGATGATTATCAATGATAAGGAAAAGATTTGACCTATTCAATTTCCTTCTATTTTATGTATTTGATTATGAGTTTCATTTCCATTTCTTCGTTTTTTTTTTTATTCCATAAAATTATCAAAAAAATAGCAAATAATAATAAGTAAGTGAACATTTTTTAATATAAAATACGAGCGATAATTTATATGAATTTGTTAATTTTATGATTTTATTAAAGAAGTTGTAAAAAAAATCCATATAATCATTTAAAAAAGTGATAGATAAGCTAAGTGATAATAGGTAAGATGGGTGATAACAAATGATTATAAAGTACTACTGACAGTTTACGTAATTTGTTAATTTTATGATTTTATTAAAGAAATTCTGAAGGAGTTCATATAATCATTTAATGAAGTAATAGGTAAGATTAATGATAATAGATAAGATGGGTGATAAAAAAGGAATATGAAATACTAGTGGCAATTTACGTAATTTTGTTAGTTTTATAATTTTTGTGAACCTTATGATTTTATTAAAAAAGTTATGAAAGAGTTCATACAATCATTTCAAAAAGAAGTGATTGATAAAATAAGTGATAAAAAGAAAAATACATATGATAAGTGATAAATCTTAGGCAATAAATAAATTTTAGCAATGTACATTATATATAAATTGTTCTGGAACGGATATCCGCTTGTTACGAGGAAGAATCTTTAGGCGCTAATGTGCTAATGAGGTTACGAGTTATGCTAACAGTAACTTGTACCGCTGATAAAGTTTCTCATCATCAGATAGATTTCAACTGAAGATTAAGCATGTTCACAGGCTGGATGAGCTCGCTATCCATTCCGTCACATCCTAAAAGAGGGATAGCTCAAAACCGGGGTAGGTAGAGGTCATCCATCTAACCCTGTAAGGTCCATCCATTTAAAAGAAGGATACTGGAATAAAACTGACATCCTAAGGATTTCACTACAACTATGCTAACTCGCTAGGCCCTGGCAGATAAACTTCAAAAGCAAAAGCTATGGCCAGTTCCGTATAAACTGTGTCTTACCCAAAAAAAAAAATCCAGATTTACTGTATGGGTTTTTCGTGTCATAAAAACTTGTGCAGCAGCCGGGATAGAACCCTTCTCAAATCTTTGCTTGCAAGGCCTAGCCATAATTGATAAGGATTTACGGTAATTGTACCTAATAGTATGTGGAATACGATAATGTACCTGTACCTAATAGTATGTAGAATACGATAGTGTAACAATGTAGCAAAGTTGTTTATGATTTACGATAATACCATAACCTACATAATTATGCGTACACATGCAATATCAATCATTTTAAAGTAATAAATAACTGCTACATTATCACAAGCATGACAACAATAATAGATAATCATGTAATTTAATTAATTCATGCGATAATCTTGAAATTGTTTGTAGTACGCATACCGTATCAATCATTCGAAAGCGTATACCGTATCAGTCATTTGAAAGCAGCATTTAAGTACTTGTGCTGTTATTTTTTTTTTCAAATAAATAATTATACTTTTTACTAAAATTAAATTTTTCAACTTTGAAATATACATTTTCTTTTTTCATCTATTTTGTCTAACATTTTCTTCAATTGCAAAATATTTCTTTCATTTCTTTCTAATTTCAATAAATTTCAATTTTTTGTCGAAAATCCTCATTTCGTATTTTTTTTTGCATACTTAATTTTGTCTTATTTCTTCCATCATCAATCATTTATTATCTAGAATAAGATTCCTTCTGCTAACTCAAATACTTGAATTATTAGGATTCCTTTTCCTAACACAAATACTTGAATTGTTAAGATTCCTTCTGCTAATTCAAATACTTGAATTATTAGGATTCCTTTTCCTAACACAAATACTTGAATTGTTGAGATTCCTTCTGCTAACTCAAATACTTGAATTATTGAGATTCCTTTTGCTAACTCAAATATTTGAATTACTAGATTCCTCTTGCTAATTCAAACACTTGAATTGTTAAGATTCCT